TTGTGAAAAATGGAGAAATCAAGGTGGAGCATTCCAGCACTGAAGAACAACTTGCAGATATCCTTACTAAAGGATTAAGCAAAGAAAAATTCGTTTATCTAAGAGCCAGATTGGGAGTTTGTAAGCCAGGAACCAAGGAGGTGTTTTGAGAGTGGTTCCTGCCTCAGCATTGAAGCTGTTCACAACATCAACAGTGGGGCTTTGTTAACTGTTAAGTAGTTACTTTATTGTTAATGTTAGAAGTTGGTTGTGGTGCTTAACCACATTTCATGTAATGGGTGGTTATCCCATACTAGGAACCAGACTTAGAAAGTGCTCATCGTGGCACTAATTTTCTGTTTTCTTTGTTGTTTTCCCTAGACTTTAGTTGCAGCTTTTAAGTAGTGTTTTTTGTAAGACAAGTTGGTGTGTGAAAGTTATCATCTTCTCTAATGTCCAGTACCTGATTTTCTTGATATCTCTAATTTTCTTCTTAAAACTCTCTTTATTTCATTTTAATCATCACCAAAGTATGTTTCTTAACAATCTATATATATATATATATATATATATATAGTAAGAGCGAGAGTTAGAAGCTAAATCAGAGTTGACATCATTGTCAAAAGTTTGACATAAAATATGACCTTTCTTCTTCGAAATCAAACTGCTATGGAAAGAAAACTGCATATATACAGATATGCTAGTTTTGGAAATAAATGGACTCACCTTCATGTTGAAGGGTGTCAGAGGAAAAGGAAACTAGCCTTTTTAAGAGAGTGATTAATATAATGCAATGATGATGATCAAGGAATGAGAAATTAGACCAGTTTTTATAGCATTGTCATCACACTTAACGCTGCAGAAATTGTGAACCTTATGACACAGTCAACAGGTCTGCATCGGTAAACTACTAGGAGATACAACACAGGATCACTTTCCAAGCAAAGTCATTCGATATTTTCCTTTGTTAAACCAACAATAAATTTGTTCAATATGACTTATTTTCGTTTCATTAATTATAAAAAAAATTAGTTAGTTGTTACCAACTTTTGGTTTAAACTTTTCCAATCAGTTCAATACATGTTCCTGTCCCATAAGACTTTCTTCTGGAACAATAGCCCGTGTTATTAATTATTTGTAATTGACCAAAAAAAATCAAGGTAGTAAACTGAATCCCAAAAGTGTTACCAATAAATGAGTACTAATTAATGAAACAGCAAAGTTTTCATAAAAAAAATCATCAGATTAATAATCACAATAGGTATTGGTATATATGATGGCTGCTAGTCTGCTACCTTAGAATCAGCCATTGATTCATATTTAGGATTTGCCAGATTGTTTCCAAAGTTCCCAACGTTCAAAAGAAAAAGGAATTCTCAGGTGGAAGACCGTACACGATTGTTTATAGTAGTTAATTTGTTATGATGTACACTATCAACTATGTAATCAAGGAAGGAGCAATTCCTCATTAAAATATTGAACAGATACGTTGCCCCAATGTAAGGAAGAACAACACTTGTAATTAGGAAAACGAAATGATTATTAATGAATGATAACAACAGCAAAAAGTACATCAAATTAAAAGCATCCAGTGATGTCCTATCACAGAATCATCGATTGACTCAGGCATAGAATTCATCTGGTTGTTGCTGAAGGTAAATAGATGGTACACGGGCAGACTCAGGCAATCTACTAGGTAATGGTGAAATGGTTTCTCAAGCTTCTGTGGGTCATCCACATATCCATAGCCAGTCTGAATTAAGGTGAGATAAAGGACTATGACAGCTCCAAAAGTTGAGATCCCAACTACCCAGCTGCTGAAGTAATGGTGCACCAACCTTGCTCTAATCCTAGCATAAATGGTATCATAGTAAGAATTAACATCAGATACCACTTCGTGTAAGTAGGACTCCCTTGCATCCCTTGCTATTTCCTTGCAGAGGCCATTGACTAGTCTTGCCACTTCTTTGTTGTTACCTAAAGAATGGTGGAGAACCCCTTTGTGGTGAAGAAGTTCCACATCATGAGCTGAGTTAATTAGCCCGTCGAAGAAGAACAAGTACGATGTGACATCTGGTTTGCATTGTGGATGGCATTGTTCATAGGCTACCAGGTTACGAAATAGTGTTCCCTTGTAATCATCGATATACAGAGGAGGGATTTTCAGGAACCTTCCTTCAGACCGAACATCCAGTGGAGGACAATTAACACCTTTCTCAATAATGACACCAGCTTCCATCAGCTCGGTCATGGACCGCATCATGTCAGTTTCCGCTCCACTAATTCCCTCTTCTGCTGTATTCATTGCTGCTTTGCTCGAGTCGCTTGTCTTGCTAGTTTTAATTCCTTCTTCTGTTATATTCTCTGCTGCTTTGCGGTAATCACTTGTCTTGCCAGTTTCCTCTCCATTAATTCCTTCTTCTGTTGTACTCTTTGCTGCTTTGCCTGTTTCCTCTGCCTCTGATAAGCATCTTGGGAGGATGCTGAGCCTGAAAAGATCAAGAAAGTGCTGCCTTTCCGCACTTGAGCTGCTTGTCACATCCGAGTCTGACTCCCTTTGCAATAGAGGATTAAAAAAGCGAAGGGCAAGCTCTCCCAAAGATGTCGTTGACTCTCCTGATCTTCTGGTCAAATCAAACAACGTCTGCAAAACAAATAGAGGAAGTTGGTTTTCAAGCATGATCAAATCTCGGCGAAGAGTAGGCAGCATCCATCTTTTAACCGAGCGAGCATAGTGGAAGTTGTTCTGCTTCAACTCTCTGAAGAGCTCGACAATGAAGCAGCCATCAACGAGCATCATCTTAACAAATTTATCCTTGCTATGTTGTTCAGCTTTATCCCAGTAGCACCCACGAGCAACCTGTTCCAATTCTTGCACGGAGTTCATCACTTTGTCTAGTTCAACCCCATTAGGCCGTTTTGGACGAAAGAGGCGGTGAAAGAATTCCCATTTCAGCTCTTCCATTTCTCGTAATCTTCCCTCTCCATGATGGTAAGGACCGATTGAGATGATTCTGGGAGCATAAGCTTCGGGTTGAACCTCACGCATGTTTACGGGGACCCTGTATATGCAGGCGGTTTTTCTCTCTTCGGCAACTTTAATTGCCAACTCCTTCTTCAACAAAGCTCTCCACTTAGAAACTTCATGAGGATCCGCCGGATTCAAATGCTCTGGACCCCAACTTTTGGCATTGCCATGAAATGTTCTGCTCGTCTTCTGCAAAAACAACCTTGTAAGCAAGCTGTGTCTCATTTGGAGATGAAGAAGTAAACCAGGCACAACCCAATGATCAGGCTGCAATTGAAGACGAAAAATTATCATCCATCGAGAAGCGCGAAGTCAAATGCTGAAGTCTTTTTATCAGTATTAAGAAGCACAAGGTCAATGCTGAAAGTCTTGTATAAGCAAAACAATTTCCTCGAAGATGATGAATGATTGTTGAAGGTGATTGGTTGTTGGTCCCACCTTGAATCTTTTCTGAGACAAATAATTGATAGTTTCTGCAACGACTAGGATGAGTTCGTACGATGATTCCTTTCTGCTGATCTTGTGTGTGAGCTTTGTTCAGATAATATAATATCTTATTACCCAACAAGTTGATCAATTAATTTATTGCGTTAGCTGCATATAGTCTCCAAGGTCCCACATTAAGATTCAACAGGTCTCCATTGAATATAGTATCTTATTTCTTCGAGAAATGATTAAGAAATAGTAGTACTAGTGCTTACTTTATTTTGTTTTACTTGAATTTTTTTCGAAAAAAACAAATTAAGAGGGGCATGGCATGCTTAAGCAACAAAGTTACCTTGAAACATGGGATTTGGTTCATTAAATGATAAATTCTTGTACTCAGGATTGCTTCTTTCTTCTTCTTCTTCTTAAGTTGAGCCTTTAGTAGATTGGGCTTATACTGGATAGGGCCTCTTCTTCCTTAAATCATTGTTGCTTATCCCTATCCCCATTGGGTTTGGACCAAAATCTTCTTTTAGGGCTTTCCTTTGTGCTATAATTTGGAGACATATTTCATGGCATATTTAATCAGTCAAATGATACAAAAAGGAGGCTTGATATTAGATTAACAAGTATTTATACATAGTAAGTCCCTCAAATTTACATTGGAGGTGTAAAAACTAGTAGAATTTATACTTATAAATTCTTCTTTTTTGCATTTAAATGATAAAATATATATGATTAAAAATAAATTATTCCCTGGTAAGGTAAATTGTTTTATTATTATAAAAAATGAGTAAATTTTTGATTATCTAAACAAAAAAAAGGTTAAAAATATAAAGCAGTAATACATCCATGCCACCTTGTCACTAGCATGAAGAAAATTGCAATGTCACACATTAATTTTTGCCTTTAAATGAGAGTAATTTGATGTCGACATTAATCAAATAACCTTTCATATTAAAAAGGTCATGAGAAAGGGATAGAGAGTGACAAAATTTGACAAAAAAATGCGACCCTTCTCTTGTGTCTTAATCAATTTCACGTTTTTCTACCAATTAGTGTGACAAACGTCAATATTCGATAGCCAAAAACTCTCAACAACTCTCAATTAATTCACCACAATCATTTCAACACAAAATAATTAATTTTGCCTAGTAGACCACATTAGAAACAAAATCTCGAAATAATCTCATTAATTTTGGTCATAAAATAATAATCTCAACAATATTTCCGTTTCATTTTTCTTAATTATTATTGTTTTTTTCAAATGTCTCAATTTTAAGATTTTTAAAAATCTTACACTTTTATTTTTTATATTAGTTTTTTTTCTCAAATTTTAATATACTATATCTTAATTTCTATAAAAGAATTATTTAAAGATGATGTTAACCATTTTTACATTACCAAATTTATTTAGCAAATATATAAAACTTGAAACATTAATTTTGGTGAAAACTCAAGAAATAAAAAGTTGAAAAAAACTAATAGTTTGAGACAGAAAGAGAAAGAGTAAATTTATTTTTATAGGTAGCAAAAACAAAAACCCTTTGACAATCTGATCTTCTTCTCTTCAAATATATACACCAAATTAAGTTGATGGGCTTTGGATGGTATTCAATGTTGGCGTGATAGTACGTAGCCAAGAGTGAAGTTAGTGTTAAGGAACGGTCCGGCTGAGTCGAGGGCCAGCCGGCCATAATCAAAGGCTTTATAGCTAAGATTTAGGTATGAAAACTAGGAAATCAACAACATCAAGACACCATTCGTCGCCTTCTTCTCCTTCCGTTTCCAATATCGCAACGACCCAACAACAGAATCTTGCTTCGTTTGCCAATATGGCGCGAAAGTCCTCTCTTTTCAAACAGACCCTCATCGCCACCGCCTTCTTCATCCTCGCCATCTACGCCTTGTTCACCACTTTCTTCCACACCCCTCTTCCCGTCGACGACACCGTGTCTCCTTCCGACGACGCTGCCGACGTTTCTTCCGTCGAATTTCCTGAGAGACGAGCGGACGGGTCCGGGTCCGTCGGGAAAGTCAAGGTCTTTATGTACGATCTCCCTCACAAGTTCACCTACGGCCTTATCCAGCAGCACGGCCTGGCGCGTGGCGGATCCCCTGTCGATGACGTCACCACCCTCAAGTATCCGGGCCACCAGCACATGCACGAGTGGTTCCTGTTCGCCGACCTGGCACGACCCGAATCGGACCGCCTCGGATCCCCTATCGTTAAAGTCACTGACCCGGAAGAAGCCGACCTTTTCTACGTTCCCGTCTTTTCTTCATTGAGCTTGATTGTGAACGCGGGTCGGCCCCCAGGTACCGGTTCGGGTTACAGCGATGAGCAAATGCAGGAAGAGCTGGTGGAGTGGCTCAATGGGCAGGAGTACTGGAAGAGGAATAACGGGTGGGATCACGTGATCATTGCGGGGGATCCCAATGCGCTTTATCGGGTCGTGGATCGGATCAAGAATGCCGTTTTGTTAGTTGCGGATTTTGGGCGGTTGAGGCCGGATCAAGGGTCATTGGTAAAGGATGTCATAATTCCTTATTCGCATCGGATCAGCACCTACACTGGAGATTTTGGGGTGGAAGAGAGGAAAACATTGCTCTTTTTCATGGGGAATCGTTATAGAAAAGAGGTAATCAATAGTTCATTACAAGAATTTTTTAAATTCATGTCTTTGTCGAGCAGGTTATGATGTTTGTTTCTATTTCAAATTTTAAGTTTCATTTATGGAACTGGAGGTTTTTGTTTGTTAAGTTTACGAAGCATGAACGTAGTTGGTTTAAGATGTGCCACGAGATGAGCTGGTGAGTACTGAGCACAAAAAAGATGAGCTGGAGTTGAAACTTAGATTTGGAAATCAAGGAAAAACATAGAGTTATGGAGTAATTATTAGCTTAAGCTTGCTTATATCCTGCTATGTTTTATGCAGACTACTGCACATGAAGGCATTGGCCTAAAATCCTTGATTGATCACTCATATTCAACTACTGTTTCCACCGCTCTTCTAAAATCAGGGCTTAATTTGACCACTTCCATCTTACTTAGACCTGTAATGGATGACTACCTCATGCTCATCATCCAAAACTGTTTTGTTTATCATAATTTGCCGTGTTGGCCTAACCAAAGTTTCTACTTTTGCGCTGAATGGTTTTTTTATTTCATCCACAACTATCCTGTTGAGTAGGAAGTTCCTCCCTATTTGCTAGCTTAAATGACTGCTCTTGGACTTTCTGGTTAAGAACTATACTATAACTACTCACAGAAGCAGATGTTAGTTTGAAATCAGAGGCTATTATGAAGCAGATCTCTCATGAAGGACTAGCATACCGTGATATGTTGGTAGTAGTACTTGCAGGATAATCATGTTAGGTGAACCTGTTTCCTCAATTTGATTTTTCGTTTATGGGTTCTTTGTGATGCTGATGTTTTTGCAGGGAGGCAAAATTCGCGATTTGCTTTTTCAAATACTTGAAAGTGAAGAAGATGTCATAATAAAACATGGAACACAATCCAGAGAGAACCGAAGAGCAGCTTCACATGGGATGCACACATCAAAGTTCTGTTTAAATCCTGCAGGCGATACTCCATCAGCTTGCAGACTCTTTGATGCTATTGTTAGCTTGTGTGTCCCAGTGATAGTCAGTGATAACATTGAGTTGCCTTTTGAAGATATTATAGACTACAAAAAGTTTTCAGTATTTGTGGAAACTACAGCTGCACTAAAACCCGGATATCTTGTTTCATTGTTGAGACAAGTATCTGCAGAGAAAATTATTGAATATCAGAAAGCAATGAAAGAGGTTTGTACTATTGGCATTTCCTTTCCTTTTATCTTATCATTCTCATTAAATTACTCCATTATTGAGGAGTAATAACATTTATTTCGTATATAAAATTGACAACCAGAATTTAATCCAACTACACGTTTTCAATATGTATGTATGTGCATTTTACATCATGCATTTTATTTGTCAAATATCTCTTGTTAAAATTGCTTAGAAATGATGTGGTTTTGCTTTCTAAACTCCAACCTTTTGTCTACTCCAGACAGTTACATGTGTCAAATATGGAAATCTGTGTTCTGATTTGCTTATGTTAACTGTTTTTTGGGCAATTTTCCTCGTTAATAGCTATTGGAATCAATCTGTTTCTGTTTCTGTTTCTGTGCATGTGCCTTTCAGTCCCATGTTGTCTGTTGCATATGTAAAAAGCAGAAATATTATAGAGCATCATCCTCTTCTCCTCTTATTTTATGGCTGAGCTATGTATTTTTATCAATTTGAATTACTCTATGTTGCATCAGTAGGTTCTGTAAATTGGACCTCAGTCTGACTTTAACTTTGCACCCCCTATAATCAGCCTCAGAATAGTGGGCTGGAGTCTGGTGGTAAAGTTCTTGTAACAATTCCAGAAGCTGCTATATAAGAAAGGATTATCTTTATACATGTCTGTGTAAGACGAGTAGAAGAGATACTGAGTGTATTGGCGACTGGAGTGTGGTATTCTTGTTTGGTTTTCCTTTGTTCTCATGCATCATTACATAGTTACCAGTGATCACAAAATTACGATTTTATTTTAAATATCTGTGACTGAGTTTTGTTCTCAATTTAAATTTTGTGGATTCAGGTGAAGCGGTACTATGACTACACTGATCCGAATGGAACAGTTAATGAAATTTGGCGGCAAGTCTCACAAAAGCTACCTCTTATCAAACTTATGATTAATCGTGACAAACGGCTTGTTAAGATGGAGTTGAGTGAACCGAACTGCTCATGTCTTTGTTCAAACCAGACAGGAATTATCAGTTCCTTGTGATAACATCATTTTTTGGTGATCCTTGAAGTGCATCTGTCAAAATGGCTGTCCCTGAATATGAGCGAGGCAGATACTTGACCGGACCCTGCCAGGTTTGAGGAATAATTTATGATACCCGTTTGCCTTCAGGGTGGGGTTTTCTCCCACTGCTGATGAGGGTAGTGAAATTTGCCACTGTAGAAGGCTTTCTTGCATACATTGTTGTAGAGTAGATTGAAATTTTGATTATAGTTGTAATTGTAATTGATTTGTACATTGTAGAAATAAAATTATCGGTGATGCTTTGATTCTTTTATTTCAGCCTGCAATCTTTTGATTGAAAAATCAAATTGCATGTAATAGCGCAAAACCCAAATTTCTCACCTCTTCAAGGTGTTAAGATTCGAAGTACACTAGACCAATTCAAGCCTTAGAAATGATAGAAAAGAAAAGGAGAAAGAGAGCACAAGGGAAATTGAAAGCCATGAAAGTTTCAGGATGCATCTGCTTCAACTCTTTAACCAGGTGGCCAGTTCATCTGTCTCCCACCTAGGACATGCAAGTGAAGATGATAAACTGATTGACCTGAAGAGAGAGAGAGAGAGGTATAGACAAGAGAATGAAATGCAAACCAAAGTCAAAAACTATGGAGACAAGATGATAACTCACAGGCACTTGGACCATTATTGATGACAACTCGAAACCCATCAACAATGCCTTCTTTTTCAGCAACAATTTTGGCGGCATAAAGAAGTTGACCCAGAATCTCTCCATGCCTTGGTTCAGCCTGACAAGTTAGAAATAAGGAACTAAAATCAGACTACGCGACAGCAATTTCAATTACATTCTTCAAAGACAATGCAAACGAGGTTTATGGATCTGGTATGCAAATTCTTTATGGGTTCATCTTCCTCATAAAAGCACAGCAAAATATTTAGAAAGCAGGGAAAACCTAATCAACTAGAACAGCAAAATTCACAAAACATGTTCAGATGGTCCAGCAAATCATGCAACACAACATGCAACAATTTATATAGATATAGCAGTATCAATCAATATGACTGGGACACACCTTTCCAAGCTGTGTCAATCCATCCCTAACCTTTGGAATGACTAAAACATGAACAGGAGCCTGTGGATTGACGTCCTTGAATGCTAAGACTTTATCATCTTCATACACAATGGTTGAAGGAATTTCCTTTGCTATGATCTTGTCAAATCTGAATGAAAAGACAAAAAAGAATCAACTCTTAATAAGTAAACAGCATAAACACCTGTGACTCTGTTGAACTCCTAATTCAAGGATTTTAATAGTTTTTTACTAATGTGCACTGATGAACTCTGGTGATTCTGGTGACTTTGTATGGATGGGGGTTTCTTGTGCACTCTGTTTGTCTCTAGTGTATTGTTTTTTACTAATGTGCAGGTGGAAACAAGTGTTCTATGGTATTTTTTGTAAATGTGCAGGAGGTGGAAATTATAATTTCCGATTACTCTGCTGTTGGAGGTATGATACAGGCAGGTGTGAATTGTGATGGTCTGTAGAGATGGGGCTCTATGCTGGGGGTGAAGGGTCTGCAAGAACAGGAAACAAAGTTCTTCTTGTTGTTTTATATTCTTGCTGATCCAACTTTGCTGGCTCCTGCGAGAGGTTCTGAGTTTGTAAAGGTATTTGTATCCTTGGGTCCTGTTTTTGCTCTTTGTACAGTGGGCTTGAGTATTAGTACTGGAAATTTTTGTAAACCAGTACGCCATGGAGGAGCCATCCACAGTCATGGCTGCTCATCCTTCTTTTGTAACTAGGGAACCCTGGTATCTTTTGATATGAAATCTATCATCATAATTAAAAAAAAAAAAGGATTTTAATAGTTAGCATTTAGCAACAATATGTTCTCCCCCTTCTTCCATATCTCATAGAGAAGTTATCAGCATAATCATTTCTTTGTCTACAATCTATATGTCCCTTTTAACACTACAAAGAGCTTGTTCAAAACTTAAAAAGTTATTCCCAATGTTTTTCACTTTTATTCTTAAAATCAAATAAAAGGGAGATGAATTTCCATATGTCATCAAAATCCATAAGATTCAACAAAATAATATGTAATAAATTCCAAGCTGGAACTGGAATTTGAAACCAAACCAGGGTATTATAGATGATACATGGTTGGAACTCCACTGTCAGCATTGATTGCAGCTGCCTTCGCTGCAGCCTCTTCATCATGTGTAGCACTAGCACGACATAGATATCTACAGAGAGTGATTCAGAGATATCAAGAAAAGGCCATTGGAAAATTGGCAAAGTTTTGTAGTTTTTCTTCACTTCACTTCACTTGTTTGCTAAACCACAAAAAGAAAATAGAAAACAACAATTTGAAGCCTAAGTGAACATTCTTTTCACCCCATTTTCTTTGATTAGCTAATAGACAACAAAAGCAATAGCAATCCAGCAATTGAATGCTGAAATAACAGAACTTTCCTTGTCTACACCAAACCAAAAGAAGGGAGGGAAACGAAAATAGGACCTCCGTGAGTGATTTGCAGTTAGAAAATTTATAGAACTGGGATAAGAAGCGATTCCTGGTGAGGCTCTCACTCTTGCAACAATCCTTCCAGCCCTTGCATAATCACTGTCCAAATCAAATACCCAGAATCAATATTCTATCACTATATACTTACAGATACACAGAAAATGAAAATAGAGATGAGTCATAAGAGTACCGAAGAAGAGAGAAAGAGTTGACAGCAGCCATAGATTTTTGGGCTGATATCATTTTTCTGTTTCTCTCAAATGTTTTACTAGCTGAAACTGTGAAAGTGAACAAAAGTAGTCGGCTTGGCGAACTGGTAGAAGTGATTTCTGATGATGGGTACTCTCTGATCTGATCTGGGCCTTTGCATTTCTGGGCCAGTCCAATTTGTACTTTAAAATCATACAAGTTTGAAAAAGTTCGTGTGGCTCTGATTAAAATCACGTTTTTTTCTACGGATGGGCATTATCTCACACTTCACTACATATAACAAATCTTTCAAGATTGAATTTTTAGATTGAAGAACATACAGAGAAAGGCTGGACAAAAATGGCCAACTTTGTTCTGCAACTGCCAACCAGCAACTTGAGAAACTTCTCTGTTTATGCTTCATCTAATGGTACCTTGCCTATTTCTGTTTTCTATGTTAATAAAGATGGATTCTTTCTGCTTTTTCCAACATTTCTGCTAATATTGTATCTGCTCAAAAGTAGTAGCCTTTGGGTTACTGATATTGGCATGAACGAATAAGTAGTACTACTATTAATTTTATGAATCTATTATGTATTTTGTGCTTGTATTTGATTGGATTCTTGCTTGGTTGAATGCTTGAATTGAATGAAAACTAGGGGCTCCTCCGGGTACTGGTTCACAAAGTGGGGGCCCTGTGATTTTGGAGCTTCCGCTTGATAAGGTCAGGAGACCCCTCATGCGCACCAGAGCAAATGATCCAAACAAAGTCCAGGAACTCATGGACAGCATTCGAGAAATTGGACTTCAAGTACCTGTAAACCTTTTCCATTTTCTTGTCTTTTGTAGTAAATGAAGTGGTTTTGAGTGCTTTAGATATGGCAGAACAGTCCTTGAATACTCTCATACTAGTTCCCAGATTATGAAGAATCACCTGGAAAATTTGATCTTTTGGTGTTATGATTTGTTTTGTCTCTGATTTTGAGTATAAGAACTCAAATCCTGACAAAATTGTTCACCAAAAAGAGCATATCCAAATTGGCGACCATCTTTTCAAAAGATAAGAAGTCCAGGGGTACTTTGAGCCTGCATTTTAAGATGCAGAAGGCTTTGATAGTATACATTGATGATATACTAGGATTTCCGCATGAAACTTTCATGACTTATTATTTGTGCCTTGATCTTGTAATTCTTGAACTACTATTTGTTGAACTTAAAACCCTTTTCCTGATAATCAAATCAATTGCAGATTGATGTGCTCGAAGTTGAGGGAGTTTACTATGGTAATGTGTTCAATGTACTCATATCTTGCTTCTTCAACCTGCCAGTTCTTGGCTACTTCTAATCCACAGATACTAAATTGGAATATATCAATATATCATTGGCTTCAATGTTTGTCTCTGTAGCTAATACCTTCGAGACTAGAACTTATCATTCTCATTTCTGTACATCCCAATTGTACAGGTTTCTCCGGTTGTCATCGTTATGAGGCTCACCAGCGCCTTGGGCTCCCAACAATCCGTTGCAAAGTTCGACGTGGAACCAAAGAAACTCTCAGGTTTCTGTTTTCTCAGTTTTTGCTCGAGTCATAATCAGCCTGTTCTACCTTTCAACCTCAGTGGACAACCATGTTTGTTTAAACTTTATCTTCATTTTGCAGGCATCATCTTCGCTGAGTGGTAGTATCTGCTTCTTAAAAGTGCATACACAACTTTGATGATGTTAATCAGACAGTATATGCACTTCTCAGCATTCTGCAAGTGCAGTATATTCTCAACCTATGTCATTCTTGCTCGAGTTTGTAGATTACCCTGTAATCGATAGTAATATACAGTTTTTTATGAGTCTCGAATATAATTAGAATCATACCTGCAATGTTATGTTTAAGTGATCATCAAATCCATGGCAGTGGATGTATATAAGTTTAGTAGGTTAAGTAAAATAGCTAGAGTTTTGTCCCTGGCAAGTACCATTGATCCATGCTGTGAAAGGAAAATTGGATTACGCTTTGAATGGCGGGAAACTGTTTGAACACTCCTCCCCCAGACTTTCTTGGGAGCCTTGAACTGAAAATTCGGTGGCCCTCTTTGCCTTCTGCATGCTGCTTTATTCATTGAACTTGATTAAATGTGTCCATGGATTGATTGACAGTAGTCAGGAATAGAGCAGAAGATCTGCTATCTATTATTTTTTTTTGCTCAATCAGAGAAAATATTCAATTAATCATCCCAGAAGGGAGAACCTGCTATCTATTAGTAAGTTCTTTCCCTCAATGTGTAAGACCTTAATTCTTGTTAGAAGCTTCAACCAAAAACTCTGAATCGATGCATAGGTACCCGTCTTGCACCCACTCTGGAATGCTAAATGTAGCTGTGAAATCTGCATATGATGGAAAAGGCCTGAGGGATATCACATTTGTTCCTGTTACAACTGGAATCGAAAAGGGCATCAAAAGCTTGCATGGGATTCATCAACTGTTGACATCTTTTGTGTCACGGTTTTAGAAAAAAGTCTTGAATTCCACATTGATTGTTTACTAAAGTGAGTCAGAGCATTTATATGTTTCACACCACCTTCGTCCACAAAAATGTTAGTCCCAATGAACCAAAACGAATAATATTTGCAGATTGATACAGACCCTAAATCACGATGAAAACTTCAGGTGATCAATGAACAACCAGATTTTGTATGTAAAACCACAAGTCGATATCATCAATATAAGATAAATGATTGATGAACTACCAGATTGTGTATCGAAAACCACATGCTTCTATCATCAATATAAAGATAAATGATGCGTACATTCTGATGCAATGTTAACTAGCTGAGGCAATAGCTACAAAAAGCAGAAATCAATCCACAGGGATATCCAGGAGAAGCTTTATTCTTTGGCAAATATAGTGTTTGTTCTTTTATCTATATAGGTTTTTTTTGGTACAAATGGGTGCATTGCGGCTGAAACTAGGATTTGTACCAACTATTCAACCCCCAAGAGCGAAAAGCACAGGCCTAGGTACACAAAACGATATATAACATTAACTTAGAGGAAAAATAACAGTGTAATAAAAGTTGTGAAGTACATTTACATATACATTTTGCCAAAATTTGTGTTAGCTAACTCTAATTTTATGACCTAATCACTAATCATTGACAAGAGAAATAATTTAGCGATTGTAATCTTTCTTGATGCTGACCATCATTCTACTTGTATGATATTGGACCAGACCTTGATACAGCAAACCTTGGCAGCGGACTGGGACCTGTGCTTCCCGAAGCCGATCCTTCAGGGTACTTAACTTTACGGCTTGAACTGTAATCCAAAGGCCCAGACCGGCGAACGTTTCTATGTTTGTTTTCAGCACTTCGTAGGCTACCACTTTCGGCATCATAAAGGTGCTCCTGGCTGTATGATGAAGATCCTTTAAAGTAACCTGAATCATTAGCACTATACTGTGGAGTCAAATCCCCACGGGGTTGCCTCATTACAGGGGATGCATGTGCTAATGATACAGAAGGGGAATGGCGTGGTGAAGCACTTAATAGCGCCAGTGGCATCAAAGGAGAATTTGCGTAGTACTGGCTATATATTGAACGGAGAATAGCATAAGGAACGTGGGTCTCAAGATAGCTTCTTGGAAGGTATGGTGAAATGTCACAGAGTTGGTCAAGAAAAATAAGCTTGGCGACAAGATGAGATCTGCACATATTAATGGACAAACATCAGCACTTTGCAACTACAGCATCAACAGGATATGCATACAGATGAGACTTGATCAGTGACTTGTCATGGTTTTTTTTAAGTTACACATGTAATATCTCATCAAATTTAACAAATAAAAACCAGGGAATACTAGAATTAGAGCCAATCATTTAAACACTAAAACCCAATAGGTCAAATCCATGACGGTGACAATTTCCATGATGTTGACAAGTTATCAGTTATCAATAAGATACTCAAGAAGATGTGAAATAACATGAGATTAGATAATTCTTTAAGAAAGTAAAGCAGACTTCAGAAGCATCAGTATGTGCTTGGGCTTAAGTAAGGTTAGTATAGGTCTCGAGTGGAAATTTTGCCATTAAAGAAAAAAAAGGCATCAAGGGACTGCACCAACATCAGTATTATTTACCTGTTAGCTTCATTCCATGAATCTAGTACAATTCCTGCTGAGAATTTAATAAATAGCTGCATTGCTGATTTTATACTGGCTTCTGCAGATACACGGATATCAGGATCCAAATAGTCACCAGCATGACCGTTTGAGAGCAACTGTCTCTGGTGATGTTCGCGTGCCAATCTAACATATTCACTTCCAGATATAACAGCACTAATGCACCTGTCAAGTTCAAATTAAATAATAAGCACTCTGGTCAAACAGCATATTGCTAACCCCCTTATTTTACTACAATCCATACAGAAGCAAGGCTTGAGCAGTAACAAGCAAAAGTCTAATAGGAAGTTGTCTCCTGAATGACTTCATCAAGAAGCCTTAATTTTGACACAAACAACCAAAGCTGGTGTGCAGGCCAGGTTGTAGAATCTACATGTGGTTTATCATGTCTCTCATTTTAATTCTGAGAGAGATTTTGAACTGCAAACCAACAAGTCAATGTTGGGTTAGACATACTAGCTGCTAGGCATTCAGTTCAGAACATGGCATCCTATGTTTTCTAGAACTCGAGGTCAACCCAAAAGTATTTAAATAATGAAAAAAAATCAAAACGGACACCCACCTTGCCAAACCATGTATATTGTTGTTGAAACCCCCAGTGTCAACATTGAAGCCAGTTGTGTTCCAGATATTTGATGTCATGAAGGTGGCAAACAAATAAGGCAATAAGCTCCAGGACCCATCATTTGCACCTCCAACTTCTTCCAAAATCGATCTAACCCACTCAGAGTCATGATCACCAGCAAGCGCAACACTGTTTGCTACCCCCCTCATTCTTCTGATTTCCCGCTTTTCAGGTATTTCTTGAGGTATGTGCTTAACTACCCCAGCAAGCAATGAATAAATCAAGGGTGCACCTTCTTCGAGCACTGCTCCAGCAGCTTCAGCTAAAAGTTTATCAAAAGCCAATGCTTGTCCTGCCTCAATACAAAAACCAATTATTGTGTCCAAATCCACAATTTGCTTCAAACAAGCTTCTCTTTCTATCCTGTCAGCAGAATGCATGCTGCCAGCAACTGCTTCTAACAACTCACGATTTGACCGCAATGATGTGTCAATGCAATTCAACAGGGCAGCAGTATGTTCTTTCATCATCCTATCTAGTCTGTCAACTCCATAACCACCAAATATACGAACAAAGGCCTGCAATTCTCTAAGATCAGTGACTGACTCAGCAAAATATCCACCAACCGGCCTCGTGCTTTTGAAGCATTTGTGCATGGGTGTAAACAGAATTCCAGCACCGGACATATCCTTCACAATGTTTTCAATGTACCAGTTGCAGACAACTTCAGTGGCTGATCCAGTATGTTGCTCTGCTGGTTTATCAAATACATGCAGGGAAGAAATTGGTCCAGAAAAGGTCTCTGAGAGTAAAACTTCTCGAATTCCTTGGGTTAGATCCATGCTAATGTGCTGTTCTGCTAGATGGACTATATTCATGTGTCTGCGGATCAGTGATTCTAGAATAGAAGGCCTTTGAAGATCATTATCAGTTTTTAGTACTGAAAGTAATCTCCTTCTGAAGTTGCCAAGGATGCATTCCCTCATGTACTGCACATATGATGAGAATATTAAAACCATAACACATGAATACCAAATGGCCTGCTTTGAATATTTGACCACAGATGAATCTACCACATCAAGAAAAATAAGCAAGATAATCTTGCTTTCAACTAATATGTTAAATAGTGGCCTAAATAAAGAAAACCTAATAAGTTAAACCCCAATTTACCAAGAAATTTAGCAGAATAAAATAGCCAACTCAGAATCTATCAGTAGGACTGCAAATGAAATGGAAACGTATTCTAGGAAACCAACAGGCCAGGCTCACATTTAACCACTGCTACATAAAAGGGCCAGAAACAGATTTAGCAAGACTCACCTCCCTCAGAACAAAGACATGGTTCAGAACACATATAGGCTCCATATCATTCAAAACTGAACACAAATTGGTCAACCTCTGCATTGCAGCCTCCAACCTAGAATAAAACAAAAGTTATGTCACTATTAACTGTATTGACTGCATACAATTTCAGCAAAGGAAAGAAAAGTTCATGCAAGTGCCTTACATTTTAATAGAATTGTTATTCTCTGGATAACTTTCATGGCCTGGCAAAGGATAGCCAACTGCTCCTTTTGGTGATTTTGCTGAAGGAATCGAAACTCTGGATGCATTATTCAAATAAGATGCTGCTTGCTCTGGAAGAAGCTGAGATTACTTGAAAAATTAGGTTTATAAGCTGTTAAATATCTTCAATTAGTTACACTGGAATATGGATTCAATACGAACCTGCATCTCCAAAGCCCCAAATCCACCTTCAGAATCAAGGATATTAATTAAACCTTCCAATCCTCCCATGATTGATTCAATGAGAGACTCGACATATAGGACTGCATCTCGCCCAATTTTCGTCACCTGATTATGGTTAAATACAAAGCACAAATCAAGTTTCCCATTTTTATATTTCCATCTAATGAGAGGAAAAAACAAAAGTGATACTGCAGATTAAGCATAAATAATCTCAAAACAATATGTTGTCATAAGTCATAAGTTGTCAGAGGGGTAAATACACCAATGTGTTGATTTTGTGTAACCACTAGAAAAATGGGGGATGAAGGACTATGGAATGGGGGGAGTGGGGTGTTTCATGCTGATGTTTAATTAAAACATTACCTCCTCTGGAACAATTGGAGATGCACACTCAGGAAAACTACCAGCAACACCAAGCCATGCACAGCAATGTTGCGGACGCCCCTCTGGTCCAAACATAGTGTTCCTAAAGACCTATAACAACAAGTATGCAGGCATCACTATTGCATGCAAGCTATTTTCAACAGAAAGAACAGGAAAGAGTTTCAAAGCATACTGCTGTAAGATGCTGGTGGTAGAAATACAGCTTGTTGAGACTACCATGCTTTGACAATTGAGACTCTAGTTCATCAACGCATCTGCATTGAGACATATCCAGACAATTATCACTGTTTTCTTTTACATAACAAAAGTATATGACTTTGTTTAGCAAGTGT